TACACAATGTAATAAATGAAATCTTAGTAATTAGTAAAAATGTAATTGTTTTATATCCGAACCTCTTCCATGAGGTTTATCATGCCACTCTCATGTGCAAAAACAATGACAACTCGAGCAGTAGAGGTTTTCATCACATTCACAATCCTCCTCAGTCCATCTGTGTCTTTGTCCCAGGGTAAAACCTCGAAGTAAGCAAGGCAACCTTCACCAGACCGACTGAGCTCAGATTGTAAGAATCTTGCTGCATGAAGTCCATAATCATCATCACTGACGAGCAGACCTGCCCAAGTCCAGCCAAAATGTTTTAGAATGTGAATCATAGCACGAACCTAAGTGAATACAGATTAAAACATTATTGCAAAGACAAGGAAAATCTTTAAATCTATAACCATTATCTTCACTGAAGCCACACAATAATAAAATAGCGTGTAATAGCACAGTCTTGACGCACAATAATGAAAGATTACTGAAAGATTTTCACCTGGAAGACATCACTTGGGATCGTCCTAAAGAAGGATGGATATTTTTGATGGTTACTCAGGCAGGAACACGTGGAAAAGTAACTCACCTGTGAAAATTACAGACTGTATATTGTAGAAATATGTAAAAACCTAAATACTGCAGCTTTTCAATTTTGTTGTGTAAACAAAGTCGGTTTTGACAAGTGGCTTTAAAATTGCAGTTACATTAAAATGATCCAGCAACACTGTTTCTTGCTAAGCAGATGACTTACCATAGGTACTCTGTACAAACCTAAAATGCTTGAGATAGCAATAGAGTGTGCCGAGGGAGAATCACCAACAATCCCTAAGACTGGAGGATTTCCAATACATGTATTATCTAATAAAATTTTTTCCTCTTGACCACTGGCTAAAGACAATGCTGCACGAAATGCAATTCCAAGGTTGACGCAGTTATCATAAAGAGTGTATCCCAGAGTCACATTAGGTAGCAGATTGGAGTTGCTGTTGATCTCATCAATAGCAAAAGCCATGGTTTGTGCCAGTCTAAATCCTAGTTCATAAAAACTAAAAAAAAGAAAAAAGAGAGAGATAATTATTGAATAATACAGTAATACAGCAGAATACTTGGAAAACTTATTGCAAAACTAACAAAAGAATTACAGAAAATTAATGACAACAATTAAAGATATATTTTAATTTAAAAAAACAAAACAAAACAGATGCTTCAGCCAAGAAACATATTTTTTTTCACAAATGTATTAATACACAAAGTATACTTTGGTAATAAAATGCATATTGACATTGGCACTGATTTTCCCCATTTTCTTCTTTCTTCTTGTTTTCTTCCCACCCTGTCATACTTACCCATGGCATTTAGGCTGTTGGGGGTCTGAGATAAAAGACAGGTCAGGAACACTTCTAAAAAAGTGGACTGGAAAGAGTCCACCCAGAATGACATCTCCAGTTTTTTTATTCCCATTTAGATGAAATTGTCCCTGTAATTGACAGGAGGGAGAGATGATATCAGAAGATGATACAGCATAAGAAAAAGAGAAATAAAGCAAAATGAGCAAAATGGTTTGTAATAATAACCACATGATAGATTTCTAATTTTCTGAGTCTAGTAATTAGATTTTATTGTCTTGTCACTCCCTTTTGTTGGAAAGTGTTGACTAATCTTGCACACCACCCATCTGGGAAAAAGACGTAGCAGGGGGAGGGTCTAAAATATACTACATTTCCTGTCCAGTGCAAACACTACAAGGGAATTAGATGGATGCCAAGAACTTTGTTTTTTGTGCGTTTAGTTAATTTCATTTTGATTGATTTTTATTTTCAGTTTTAAAAGATTAATGAATATTCTTAATAAGCCCAAAGGGTTTATGGTGAAAAAAAAACTTTTTAAAAAATCATCTAGGCCAAATTTAGCTGTCTTTAACAGTAAATCTTTCATATTATAAGAATCTTTTTTAATGTTTTTCTTGTGACACAAAAGGACCCAATTCACACAGTGTTGCCAGACAAGTAAATGTTTATTGACATAGTTTTTCATGATTTCTGCTTTTGCAGCTCTCCAGTTGCCTCCACTCTAGCTCAGCCCAACACCGCTCTCTCATTGGGCCCCCACACTCTATTCAAATAGGGAGGTATGATTAGATGATGGCAATCAGCTGTGTAGGTCAGTCTCCCCTGCCACCACATCCTGAACCCACTGCTCCACCCCTCCCCTGCACCCAAACACAAACCACACCAAAAAACAGGCAACATTTACTTATCGTTAGCTTCATAGCATAAGTGCCTAAGTCATTTTTTGGTCAAATTGCATGTGATATGTAAAAATATGCATGTGATATTTAGAAAATTAGTTTTTTCTTGTTTTCCGAAAACACAAAAAAATGACTTAGGCACTTATGCTATGAAGCTAACATTATGTAGTTTTTTTTTTATTCCACAAAAGAGAATCCATATCCACAAATTACTGTTTTAAAATATAGAACTTTACAGCATTAGAAAGGATATTTAGAGCCTGGTATCCATGCTCAGTAATCCAGCTAAAGAAATTCCAGAAATTTGATTCTGTTCATCTGGAGGTAGCATTTTCATTGTGGGAAACATTTACTTGCACTGCCCGCAGGTTGGGGAAACCTGCAGTCAGTGGAGACTGAGGAAGTCACTTAGATGAGTGATGAAACATTTTTCTCATTGAAAACACTACTTCTAGATGGAAAGATAAAATTCCTTTCTTTGGCCAGGACTACATCAAGCTGGTACATGAGGAAACAGCACATGAGATGGAAGACTACAGGAACCACCTGAGATACAGCCTCAGATGCAGAAAGAGCAACTTCACTTTCAGAGTTATGGAGACAAAATTGTGGATGTGGAAGCACAGCAGATGGAAATTTCAACCCATCTCAACAATGCAAAACCCCCAGTGTCTAATATCAGCATTGAGGAGACACCAAGATCATCATCCATACATGTGTAGGTGCACATGTCTTGAAGCATGCTCAATCATCCAGGTAAGTAAATTTTAATTCTGTTTCTTTTCTGGAAATAGATTTTCAGTAGAAGAAACGTTTCGTCACTCATCCCAGTGACTTCTTCAGTTAACTGCAGGTTTCCCAAACCTTATAAACAATACCTTTGCACAATGACTAAAACTAGCCCACTGAATGAACAATGAGCTGTGAGATCAGTTTAAAAACCCCAAAAACCACAGAGACGAATTTGAAGTTGAGATGAATTTTCAGAGAAATTTCAGAGAAAATTTGTCTTAACTGTTCTGATACTCCTGATACATAGGGGATCACTACAGGTTTTCACTTAGGCAGCAGCTGTCCTTCTCTCCTGGATCAGCTGGAGCTTTCTTTAGGCACCTTTTCTAGCTTTTACAAATGTCCAGCAGGGAAAACATTTACTCAGGGCCTTCTTATATGATGTTCTTCTGCTTCCCTGGCCGATGTGTCTGTGCGGATGGTGTTGGCTCTATGTTGTAGCGTCCTGATGACACCCAATATGCTCCAATGGATAATTAGAATCAAACATTAAATACTGATCTTTATGCACAGGTTTACGGTACACATCAGCTTTTAAATGTCCCTCATTACAGATGGAAATCTCACAATCTAACAAGACTAACCTGCAATTTTTGGGGTGTAGGTGTAGGTGCTGAAACAAACAGATGGCCATGAGAAACATTTCTCACTTCTTCATATCAGCAGTACTTACGTGCCCCTGAAATGAGACCATGTAGTATTCACAGAAAGAGCGTGAAAGATTGTTTGAGCAGGACAGACTTGAAATCTCCTTCCTTTATCTACTTCACATGAACATCAACTTGAGTGATATTCATGTCCACCAAACTTTACACTTAGAAGGATGCATCCATTGGACAATGAATGTTAAATAGAAAGCACGGGGTGTATAAATGGGTGTGAATGTTTGAATCAGGCAAGTTGCATTAAGCAAATCAGGTAGAATGGAAAAGCACTATATAAGAACCAGATAATAGCTGTGTAATTTACGCCACTGCTTTGCATTGCAGTTGGTAATTTAAGGGTTGGTTAGCTGCTTGGCCATGGAAACCTATTCCATGAAGGTCTCTACCCAATGTTCTTCAGCTAATCTGAAGGCCACATGGAATTTGGAGTTCTGTAGTGATTGACTCTGCAAAAAAGTTGGCAACTTCTGTCCACTATGCTCCTGTCCACTTGCTGACCCCACTCTGTGATTTTACATGACCTACCACTTCATGGCTGAATTGCTGTTATTCTCAATCACAGTAACTTTGTTTTAATACCACTCAGCTTGTTGGATAGGATGCATCCTATCATGGTGCTACACTGCAATTCCCTGAGCTCTAGAAAGTGATTCATTCTTGAGTTTGCTTGAGTTTACTTGAGTTTATACGTCTGTGGCCATGGAAATGATTAAACACCTGAATTCAGTATTTTGATTTTGATTCGTGAGATAATACGAAATTATATATTATATTATATAGAAAATAAAAAGATACTTTAATTCATGCTCACTGAAGTCCACTTAGTGTGGCTTTAAAAAACTAAATCAATACAAAACCCTAAAATATTCTGATTATATAGCAATTTTGCAGTCAAAGACAAATCAAATAGGGAATAGAATTTTTAAACATGACCTTTCTGAGACATTCATGATAAAACCTGCTGTACATAAATTGAAATTTTGATGTGTATTTTTCCTTTTATACATCTTGTATGGTGGTTAAACCACAAGAATACTCATTCTTCTGTTATATTGATTTACCAGTGTATATGAAATGCATTATATGCCCTGCCCCCTTCTTATTCTTTTTCCCTAATGGGTGGAGTGCAAGATTAAGTGACACAACATTTCAATAAAAGGGATTAGTAAAGCAATGAAACATAATTACTAGGCTCAGAAAATCAGAAAGCTGTCATGTGCTCATTATTACAAACCAATTTGCTTTTGATCATTTTGCTGTATTTCTACTTTTCTTATGCTGTATCATCTCATGTATTTCCCTTCTGTCAGTTACAGGGACAATTTCATCTAAATGGCATGCATAAGAGTGGGGATGTCGTTTTGGGTGGACTGTTTCCAATTCACTTTTTTAGAAGTGTTCCTCATCTGTCTTTTACCTCAAAGCCACAACAGCCTACATGCCATGGGTACGTTTAACAGATTATCAGTTTAATTGTTGGCATTCGTTTAGTAACTACTAGCTTTGCCATATATTTCCAGGGATCATGTTTGATTTTTAAGTAATATAATATATAGATTTTTAAGCATCTGTTGTTATTTTTTTAAATTAAAATATATCTTTAGTTGTTGTCATTAATTTTCTGTAATTTTTTTGTTAGTTTTACAATAAGTTTTCCAAGTAGTCTGCGGTATTACTGTATTATTCAATAATTATCTTTCTCTTTTTTCTTCTTTTTAGGTTTTATGAACTAGGATTTAGGCTGGCACAAACCATGCTTTTTGCTATTGATGAAATCAACAGAAATTCCAACCTGTTACCAAATGTGACTCTGGGATACACTCTTTATGATAACTGCGTTGAACTTGGAATTGCATTTCGTGCAGCATTGTCATTAGTCAGTGGTCAAGAGGAAAAAATTATATTGGATGATACATGTGTTGGAAATCCTCCAGTCATAGGGATTGTTGGTGATTCTTCCTCTACACCTTCTATTGCCATCTCCAGCGTCTTAGGTTTGTACAGAGTACCTATGGTAAGTTTTCAGTTTAACAATAGCATGTTATTTTTGTTTATATTAACTTAATTGTAAATTTAATGTCAATAATAATATACAATATACAGTTTGTATTTTTGACAGGTGAGTTATTTTGCTACATGTTCCTGCCTGAGTGGCCGTCAAAAGTATCCATCCTTCTTTAGGACGATCCCAAGTGATGCTTTCCAGGTAAACGTCACCAAAATTAAAGAAATGAAGAATAAAGAACTAATTTTTTTAAGGATATATATCTGATGAATACCTGTTTACCAACAGAATACATAATGATGTGCTGTAAAGCTGATGAAAAGAAATGCTAAAGAAAGATTTTTCTAGCCTATGCAATAATGATTTAATCTGTATTCACTTAGGTTCATGCTATGATTAACATTCTCAAACATTTTGGCTGGACTTGGGCAGGCCTGCTGGTCAGTGATGATGATTATGGATTTCATGCAGCAAGAGCCTTACAATCTGAGCTGAATCTGTCTGGTGAAATTTGCCTTGCTTACGTTGAAGTTTTACCTTGGGACAAAAGCACAGATGAAGTCAGGAGGATTGTGAACATAATGAAAAAATCCACAGCTCGAGTTGTCATTGTCTTTGCACATGAGAGTCGGATGATAAAGCTTATGGAAGAGGTCTGGCTTTAAAACAATTTAATTATTACTAATTTAAAAGATCACTAAGTGTAATACGTATCTTTCATATTTATGTGAATGTGTATAGAAAACAAATCACATTGAATTATTTTGGCAGACCAGAAACTAGTAGAATTTCATGATGATATTATTTTTTAAAATTTCAGTATCACTGTAAACTTTTGATTTAATAATACAATGCACAGGTAGTAAGGCAAAATGTGACAGGCCTACAGTGGATGGCAAGTGAAGCCTGGACATCAGCTACTGTACTCCAAACCCCTCAGCTTATGCCATACCTGGGTGGTACACTGGGCATTGCTATTCGCCGAGGAGAAGTACCAGGGTTCAGGGAGTTCCTGTTACAAATACGTCCTGACCTATATCACAACAATAGCTATGGGAATAGCATGGTAAGAGTTGAACCATTTACTGTAGTATATGCAAGAATTGCATATTTTCTTTATGTCTAACAAACATATTTCAATCATATATTTCAGGTGAATCAGTTTTGGGAATTCACATTTCAGTGTAGATTTGCTCCAGCTCCACCAGGCTGGTTGGAAGGTGGAGGTCCACTATGCACTGGACAGGAAGAACTTGAAAATAAAGACACAGAATTTTTGGACATTTCCAACCTCCGGTCTGAATACAATGTGTATAAAGCTGTGTATGCTTTTGCACATTCTCTTGATGATATGCTGCATTGCAAGCCAGGAAAAGGGCCTTTCAGTGAACACAGCTGTGCCACATTGCAGTCACTGAAGCCATGGCAGGTGTGATATCAGGTTACACTCAATCTAAGTCAATTGCTCTGTAATTATTTGCAAGTTAGATAAAACACATTCTTTTTAAACAGCTTGTTTATTACTTGGAAAGGGTGAACTTTACCACACCATCTGGTGATCAAGTGTCATTTGATGAGAATGGTGATGCATTGCCAATTTACGATGTGATGAACTGGTTGTGGCTCCCTGATGGAAGCACTAAAGTTCAGAATGTGGGTGAGGTTAAGAGATCAGCTTTCAAAGGTGAAGAACTCATACTTGATGACGACAAAATCTTCTGGAACTTTGATTCGAAAAAGGTTATATATGTTTTTTCAGACATTTATATCTTATCACATGTATGTTATATATGTCATTCAGGCAGATCATTTTTAATTTCTTCTTGTAGCCACCTCGATCAGTATGTAGTGAGAGCTGTCCTCCTGGTACCCACATGGTGAGAAGGAAGGGGGAACCCGAATGCTGCTTTGACTGCATCCCTTGTTCTGAGGGAACAGTCACTAATAAGAGCAGTAACTATTTATCTTTCAGCACAGCATATTTAATTAATTCATATTAAATATACAAAGTGTTTCACTATCTGCCCTCTTTTGTATCAGACTCCTTGGGGTGCACCAGTTGTCCAGAGGATTTTTGGTCAAACTCCCAACGTGACCACTGCGTTCCTAAGAAGACAGAGTTCCTCTCCTACCACGACCCTCTGGGTATTTGTTTGACAGCAACCTCCTTACTGGGCACATTCATATGTGCTGTTGTTCTAGGGATCTTTATCTATCATCGCAAAACACCAATAATACGTGCAAATAATTCAGAACTTAGTTTCCAGCTATTACTGTCACTCAAGTTGTGTTTCCTGTGTTCACTTTTGTTCATTGGACGACCCATAATGTGGACATGCCAACTCAGGCATGCAGCATTTGGGATCAGCTTTGTGCTGTGTGTCTCATGCATCCTAGTAAAAACCATGGTTGTTCTGGCTGTGTTCAAAGCCTCCAAGCCAGGAGGGGGAACCAGTCTGAAGTGGTTTGGTGTTACGCAGCAGAGAGGAACAGTTTTGGTTTTCACATCTATTCAGGCAGCCATCTGCACTACGTGGCTTGTCTCTTCCTCTCCAACTCCACATAAAAACACCCAATATCACAATAACAAGATTGTTTATGAATGTGCTGTTGGTTCCACTGTTTGTTTTTCAGTGTTATTGGGCTATATTGGTGTGCTAGCTTTCCTCAGTTTTCTAATTGCATTCCTGGTGAGGAATCTCCCTGATAGTTTTAATGAGGCCAAACTCATCACATTCAGCATGCTGATCTTCTGTGCTGTGTGGGTGGCCTTTGTTCCTGCTTATATCAGCTCACCAGGAAACCTTGCAGATGCAGTGGAGGCATTTGCCATCCTGGCCTCAAGTTTTGGCCTGTTAGTTGCACTATTTGGACCCAAATGTTACATAATCCTGATAAGACCAGAACTGAACACAAGAAAAGCTTTAATGGGTCGTGACATTGTATGGAAAAAAAATTATGATTCAGAGTGAAAAACTACATGTAGAAAATAAAATATACATAATGAATTGAATTCACAGAAATATGTAGAAAGATCCCAAGAAGTTTGTGTTAATAACCTATTAATGCAAACTTCAAGAAGTATGATTTTACCAGAAAAAAACTTGTAGTAGTTTGTGTAGTAAGTAGGAATTGGAGCTGCAAAATGCATGACTTCTTGTTTCTTTTTAATACCAAGAATACTTCAAAAGTGTAATGATTACTTAGAAGTACCTGTGGTAATTTTTATGTAATAAACTGTATTCAGTGATGCAAAATGAAAGACTCCCAAGAAGTCTGATGATTAGGTGAAATATCCATAGAAAATGCAAAAAACACCTGATTCAAAAATAAACAATAAAACAACAATAAACACGTATTTATACTGATCAAAAACTAGCTGGATAACATTCTATTTTATTATGTATCACAATATGAAACATATCAAAGAGTTCTGTCGAAAGAGCTTGAAAAAAAAATATAAATACATAAGATAAGGCTTGAAAGTAATGAATATATTTTATATCTGGATGACAATACAAGGTAAAATAATATGAGGTGGAAAAGTGACTGTTAATGGAATATATATATGTCTAATACACAAAAATAAAATGCCATCCATATTTCACAGCTGTGTGTGTGTGTGTGTGTGTGTGTGTGTGTGTGTGTGTTGTTAAATGTTGAGTAGGCGCAGCAATAGAATTGTAGAATTATACTCGCAGGTGTGATGTATCAATGAAATAGTCATTTACAAATAGTAATTTCAACAGAGGTTGCCTTGGCCATTAATTGAACTCTAACCATCCAAAGATCCAACCTCTCCTGCATGAAGTCGCACGAAACAGCAGAGGTATTACCATAAGGTAAATTAATTTCAAGATTATTACATATATGACTTTCATATTTCATATACTTATAGAAAACAGAAAGAACGTCAGCTTTCAAGGTTTCATGGTCCTAAACCCTTTAAGACCGGCTGGGGCGGGCACGCTCCATTTTGCATACCTAATTTTAAATCCCACTAGAACTGCAACCACATAAGCTAGCGCAATACTGCTTTTTGCATATGAAACCTGAGGAGTTGTACTTACATTTTATGCCATCAGCTTGTCCTAAGTCAAGGTTTACTTCCACATATGGCTTTGCAAAAATTTCGGAAAAAGCATTTGCAGCAACAAAAACATAATATTCTAGAAACAGGCTTTGCCGATCCAATCAGCTGTTCATAACACTTCCTACATTGAAATAGACGTCAGCGCGAACTATTGCATGTCTGCCATTACCTTATAAGCCAATACTGGTGTTTTTAAAAGTCATGTTTGACTTTATGCTTTTCTGTATAGTTTCTGGGATAGTTAGAACTCAAATTGCACTGCTGGAAATTGTTTATGTTGATGCACATGCTGGGGTTTTTTTTTTGCAAATTTGCATTATAATATTTATTTTCATTTTTCCTGCAGTATATATTATTATAGAAAATTATATATAAAAATTGGTCTATCTCAAAAATAAAACTATGAAGACACTCAAAATAAATTTCTCATGGTTGGAAACTATTTTGTGCAACTTCTTTGTATTTAAATTTTTCAGTGTAACATGTATATTGATATATAACGTGCTATTGATGTATAGCAACTTGAAATGCTCCCAAAAATGGCACTACATTATGTAAAAATATAAAGATAAGCTTGGGCGGAGGCGGCTCTATGGTAGGTCTTAAAGGGTTAACAAATTTAAAAATTATTCAAATTCAAGTGCAGATAAACAACAATAAATTAGATATTACATTATTTATTTAATAAAATGAACTAATGAAGTTCACCCTTAATGTTACATAGGAATTAATAGGGCAAGTCGCAGCCAGGTACTGCTAATAAAATGCACTTCAGTATTTGAGCATTTGCAAATGCCAATATACAGGGAGTGCAGAATTATTAGGCAAATGAGTATTTTGTCCACATCATCCTCTTCATGCATGTTGTCTTACTCCAAGCTGTATAGGCTCGAAAG